TGGTCCCTGTAGAAGATTGGAAACCATCACCCACATCTGTAATCACTGTAAGCAGTTTGGGACAGCTCCACTGAATTCAGCTCTGATAATGAGCAATGTGGGAATCAATGCAGTTCAGCATTTTGAGTTGAAGCTGCAGTCTGCAGGTGTGCATATACTGAAGAATTTCTCCACTGCAGCATCACAGACCATTGCCTCAAAGCTCCACCTCGCTCAGAGAGGAGTGCTCATGAATACTCTATGTGATCCTTCACTAGCCTGAGAGCTGTGTTCAGGCAAAGTTGTGCCTTACTGCAGTAGTGCAGATGTAAAAATTATGAGGTCCAGGAAATCAGACTCTCAGATGATTCAGTTTCTCTTTGAACCATTTATGCAGTAGTTTAAGATTTAGCCTTATCAAGAAAAAAAACCAAACCAAACAACAAAAAACTCGAGAAAAAATCTTGAACAGTTTTATGAATGACATTCTCTGACCTGAGTAGGTAATTGTTTCTGCTTTTATTAAAGAAAATTCATGCACCAAAGTAAAATTTCCTGGAAGCCTACAGTTATTGAACTATTCTGAATAGACACTGGAGAATGCCCGAACTTCACAATCCGAATCCCTCAAGAGCTTTTGCAAAATCTCAAACCTTGAGATTATGTAGTCTATTTAAACCCTAAGAAGCCATAAACCCAGGAAAAAAAGCAAGGGCATTTCCACAAGTAAAATATACTCTTGCCTAAAAATGTTACAAACGCAGCAAGTGTGAGCCTTGATTTCTGCCAGATTGATTTGTTGTCCACACTTTGTAGCTCTATGTCCCATCCCACCAACACAGTTAGATCAGCAAACTTTATGACAATACTGCATGTAGCATATGGAGGCCAAAGACAGTTCCATGGCTAAAATCCTTCTGTTGATCTGATCCGGGCTACGTGAGTTGATGGCCACACATTTCTGAATTGGAAAACATACTCAGAGGGTTGTGCTTTCAGAAGAAAAGGTTATTTTTCAATATTTATCAATAATTATTTTTCATTATAATTTTAAGGACAGTGCAAGAGCCACTTCTGAAGTGACAAATGTAAAGAGATTCCCAGGTGACAGCTTGGGAAGGCAGAGTCTCCTACCAGACTGCAAGTTCTGGTACCTGTCCTAGCAAAAGAGCATCACATGCAGCTTCAGCAACAAATGTTTATGTGCTCTAAGAATAATATGTACATAGACATGGAAAACAGATGGTATTAACGATGCCTAAGAAGAGAATTAAAGGAATAGCAGGTATGTGAGCATGCATCAGCATCCAACTGGGTTTGTAAGAAATGTAATAGATTGTTTACAGACATCATGTTTGCACGTCACATTTGATAGATTTGCAAAATGCAAGTAACAGGGGAATTCAAAGAGAAGACAGACAAGACCTTCAAATCCACGTTTAGATTTTCCACAGTATGTGTATCTAGCCTAGCTTGCTCTCTGGTCAAACACAGGAAAATATAAGAGATTCGAACCATAGGAGAGGGTGTCAGGCAAATACCACATAGTTCCCTAAGCACAAGTACTTACTCCAAATGTGATGGTTACAACAGAGCTATATCCAGGAGTATGCAGGACTGCTTATATTCAGCCTAAAATGTGAATGCTTGTACGTAAGTTTTACCCTAGACCTAGTCTGACATACTGATTGAATAAGTAGGAAAAAACTTCTGTAGAACACAGAAAGAACAACTGGTAGATGGTTTTACCTGTAGTTTGCCAACTAGTTTCTCCTGCTATGCTGGGTGCCTAATTCAAGGCTGCTGTGAGTTTCTAAGGGGTGTTTGCTTCTAAAGGCATAGACTCTCAAGAAGCAGAAAAATGCAACTGCAAATACAAATCATCTCCTACCCAAATTCACAAAATGAGGTTGCAGAGTGTACTGGAATCCAGAGATTGCTGATACTTCTGCTGAAGGATCCCTGTGACCATGCAGCCTGGGTACTGCACATAGACCTGCTTACCTACCCACCCTTCCCACCTTTTGAAAAGTCGAATTTGTCAAAATCTACCCTTTTTCCTAGTAAGTACTTCCACTGCTGAATGACCTGCAAAGCCAGGATTCATTTTCCGATTACTGAATCACTCAAGCTTCCAATTTCAGCTTTTGAACACACACTGTTGTCCTGCTAAATCCCTATATCCAGTTATCAAGTCACCTATCAACCTTCCTTCCAGCAGCTTCATCTCCTGTAACATCACAACACAAGGCTCACCTTCCAGGCTTGGGAAAAGGCTGTGCTCTTGCTTTCCATCTCCTTCTATGCTACTCTTAGAGTTAAAACATCACAACTGGACACAGCATCCTTGTAGATTTAAGCAGCCTGACCTGTGCACATTACAACAATCCTTGCTATTCAGTTCAATTTTTATAACAAGAGATTAGTCTCATTAGCTTTTCATTTAGAGTATGTGTAATATATATACCTACACTACCTCTCAACTCTTTGTTTTCCTTGACAGCCTGCTTTCCCAGGGAGAAGAGGCTGTACCCACAGGATGAAGAGGTTTCTCATATACCATGCTACGTTTGGCTCAATAAAATGAATTTTATCAGAAGCACTTAGTTGGATTATTTCTACCACACCTGTATCATTAACACACCCTGCTGATTGTTTGCTGCCACATCAACTGCTACACTTAGGGAACCAACACAGAAAGCTGAACGATGCTGCACAACCAGCTAAACCAGGGGACACCAATAAAGGCCCTTTTCATTAGTGTCTCCCTACTGCGTACAGGCATCTGTCAATGAACCAGCCTCATTCCAGCACGCAGCATAAGGAATTAAAAAGCACATGTTTAATTAAGATGTCATGTGATCCTAAGCTGTATGCTTTCGGGGCACAAAAAGGCATGTATTCTGCATGGTAGCTGTTAAATACTTAGTTTGTACCCTTGCCAATGGAAAAAAATTTAAAAACCCCAAAAAAACAAAAGAAAGAAATAAAAATGTACCAGGTTAGTTTGACAGGCTGAGCATCAAGATAACTGGTATTACCTATACAATACAATTCTTTGTTGACAGAAGCCCATATTAACTGTTCCATTCTTTTGGCAGAACTGGCAAGAGGCTAACAGGTCTGTAGCTCCTTGTGCTGAGAGTAATAAAAAAAACACAGACCATCATTTATTAACAGAAAAAAGCTTTCTCCAAGAGACAGACTTGGAATGAGTCACTATGATGTGGGTCTGCATATGGCTTAATGGGACATAAAAAAGGACTGCAAACATCTGTGGATGGCAAATTCAGCAGTAGATTAGCCTAGGATAATGCTTACAGGTGACATTCATCACAATCAAGCTGTCTTTTGTTTGTTTTTGATAAGCCAATATATGACAAGCTTTATCTATATGCATAGAGCATCCATAAACCAGTGGACACGAGCAATTTCACAAGGCAATTCAACTAGAGCTTGACAGTGGATTAGATTGCAGTACTTCATAGGTTTGATATGTTCATAACAGATTGTCACATTCCTGGCATTTCTCCAGACAGTGTTTATACCTTAAAACAGCAACAAAAATTTGGAATATGCAACAAACATTTCCTTATAGGCCATTGGGGATCATTGCACACTTGGCATTGTTTTTTTGAATAACCTTATTAATCCATCTTCAGGTTCTGTGATGTTATATTTAGATCAAGAACAAGTACTGTAACATAAAATCTACATATCCTATGCAAAACAAACATTAAGAATTATACCTTCAAAGGTGTAGTCAGGGAAAACCTTGATTAAATAGAACAACTGTGCTGGCATCCAAAACATAATCGGACACACTCCTGGACAATCTGCTCTAGTTGAACCTGCTTGAGCAATGGGGTTGGACTAGATGGTTTCAAAAGGACACTTCTAACCAAAATAGTTACAGGTTCTGGTGATTTTAACCTGCAAACAGGTAAATAATCTCAATTCAGCAATTCCCTACACCCAACAGGTGGGAAAAGAGACTACAGAGAGACTGACTGGGGTTTATACACATAAACTTGTTTTGAGATCAAACATTTAAGTAAAAGACCTCCCTGTAATCGTAACACAATGTCACCAGGCCCTGTGCAATGCAGGTGCCCTGTCAGTACAGCTGACAGGACTGGGATTACATTGACAGCTTGTCTCAAACACATGGCACACTGACAAAAGATACACATTTCCTCAAGGGCATCATTGCTTGGCATTTCACAAAACAGAACAAAACCTCAAATTCCCTTTGGGAGAGCATTTGGGATTTTTATTTAGTGATTAAGAAGCAACACTTTTGTCTGTGGAACTTGGAGGCTTCTCTTACCAACCTGGCAGGCACAAATTCCTCATGCTTCAAGCAGAAATACTGGAAAGCAGGGTAAGGTCTGCACAGCCTGATGGGCTGCAGACTCTTGAGATTATGAAAACTTCTGTGGGACAGCTCATGTTTTGACATGATTTTTAGTTTTCTTTGTTTGCTTTTTTTTTTTTAAATTTGGGTTTGTTTGTGTTTCCCCCCCCCCATCCTTTTCTGCAGAGTTAAAAGACTAAAATCAGGACTAAAGAAAGACTAAAATCCACAGCAGACTGCAGACACTGAAGAACAGTGCCTGATTTTCAGCAGCAACATAGCCATCAATTATAAGCACTCAGATATTAGATTAAGTTAGATAGTAGCTGTAGTTAAGAAGAAGCCATCACAATAGGAGTCCCCCAAGTTTTATTTGAGGCCAGACACTTAGTGTTGATTGCTGTACAACAAGAATTTGCCTCTAATAAGTACTTTGGGGTTCAGTAACATTAATGACACCTCAGGGGACGGGAGACTGTATTGTGTCGTGGGTTTTTTTTAAGGAGCCATTTCTTTAGTCCATCTTGTTTAAAAGGTTCACAGATAAATCCACATGTACATGCTTCAGGCCAATTGTAAGCTTTTGTGGCAGTAGACTCACATTTTTAAGTGGTGGTTTGGGTTCATAGGTAACAGAATCAATTAAAAGATACAAGTTTCTCACAGTCAATTCCTCCTTCTGAGCAGCAAGCATTTGTCTGGATGGCTACAGATGGACAGGAAGACTTCTGCATCAGTTCAGTGCTGGTCACAACTAGGATCTGAGCAATCAAATAAGCATTTCTCAGGGTGTGCAGATCCTTGCTGGGTTAAAGGATGAAAATCAATTCCTCAATGCAGTAAGGGCTTGGACGGAATCCAGCCTTTTTAAAATATTTTTTTTCATTCCAAGAGCTTCTTTCACAGAATCCACAGAAAAATTCTGGATCTGGGTCCTTACGTGTTTTGCTGAAGAGACAGGTATTTGTGACCTCCCTGCATTGTGCATTCTGCTATAACAAGGATGAAGCTTGGGGTCAGGTGCACTGCCCTGCACCCTGTCAGACTTTCAACCTGTTCAATTAACTATATCAAATCAAACAATTTCCACTTCAGCACCAAGAGGCACTTCTTTTCAGTGAAAGCTATTCCTTTGGCAAACCCTGACTAGTAGAGGGCAGCTGCTTTAGCACTTCAGCAACCAAAGAGAGGGGGAAAAAAAAGAACAAGAAAAAGATCTTTGGATTTTATTTTTATTGTAATGTGAGGGAGGTAGAGAAGGGAGAAATTCTTTCTCCTCCAGTCTCTTTGCTCTCTGCAAAAGTCTCAGCTGGCTGGGCTGTTATTTCCAAGAACAGAATCAAGGAGGGACATGACAAACGAGGCGCTGCCAAGCTCATTAGCAGAGCGGGGAGGCTCGGGCTGAGGCCGTGCGGAGCGAGCGCTCCCGGCTGCGCGGGGATTCCCGCGGCCCCGCCGCTCCCGTTCCGGGCCGTTCCCGGTGCGGCCGCGCCCCCTGCAGGCGGCGCGCGGGGCCGCACCCGCGGGGCCGGGCAAGGCAAGAGGCGAATCCCGCGGCTTTCCCAAGGGCATCCCCGGCTCCGTCCCAACGGCAGCCCGGGGCCGCTGAGGGGCCGAAGCACCGCAGGGAAGTCCTGAGGGCTGCAGGTGGCTGCTCGCCCGGCCGCAGCGAGGGAATTCGGGAGAAGGCAGCTGCAGAAGGAGCCCAGTTCCTGTGGGCTGTGCCCGGAGTCTCGGCAGAGAAACCAGAACACCCCATAGAACATAGGGCTGTGACAGATGTGGTTAATCCAGTTGTCAGAGACTTGGTGTAAGACTGGAGTCGTTGTCTACATACGTATTACAAACCAGAGACCATGAAGAAGCTGGAATCACATCATAATTGGTGGAGGGCATCTGGAGGCAACAGCAAGTCAGAGGTGAGAGAAGGAACACAGGATATTGCAGACCAACTGGATGAGAGATATTAAATACACACTTAGAATCATTAAAGTTGGAAAAGACCTCCAAGATCAAGTCCAATCTTTGACCAAACAACACCACCGTGTCAACTAAACCATATAGGGCTAAATGTCATGCCCAGGCATTTCTTGACAATTTCTGGGCATGTGGATTCCAACACCTCCCTGCACAGCTTGTTCCAATGCCTGACCATCTCCTTACAGTGAAGAAATTCTCCCTGTTGTTCAAAATAGAAGTCAAACCCTCAGCCATGGTTTCATCCAGGTTCAGATATCAGGAGCTTCCTTCTGCATTTCACCGTGAGGTTGGATGTGTTATTGGACTAAAGAACACTGCCAAATATTTATAAGATTATACTAAGACTAAATCTCTGTATCATGAATAGCACATGCTGGCAAGTAACAAGCTGCAATAAAAAGAATCAGCTCTAGCTGCTCACTGATATCTCAAACACACACCCACTAAGCAGCAAATTAATTCACTTTTTCAAAACTAAGAACTGTATGGTCCTCTAACAACTCCTCCACTTAATCAGTCTAGTTTTTCTCATCTAAGTTTTCCTTACCTACAGCTGAGCCATAAAATTGATGTCGTAGTTACACAGCAAAGGCAACAAATATTTTTTCCCAAGCAATAGCAAAAGTTACCTGAAAGGAGACCCTGCAATATCTCCCATTTCTTTTCCTGGTGCACCAGAATGGGATCCAAAACTTCTGAAGTGTTGCAGAGAAGCCTGACTTGACGGAAAATGAGAACTCAGCAATGGCAACCATCTGTTTAACTATGATTTCCAGATTCCACAAATACAGCAGGAGTTTGAAAAAAACCCAACATAGAATAACAGCCTAATTAGACTTCAGTCAGGGCACAACACTTGGAATCAACACAATTCATGCAAAGGGCTAAATATTCGGTGGCCAATTCTAAACTAAGAACCCCGTCCTTTGGGTGGAGAGACTCCAGACCATTATGCACCATCTTGAAGTTGTTCATCAGTATTAATCAAGTGGGGCAATTAAAAAAAAGGAAATAACAAAGTGCTATCAGGGTTAAGAATGCTGCATTCCATGGCTTCAGGCAATTTCTTGGAGGTCGTCCAAGTAATAACAGAGCTTCACCTTGTCTAGCTTCTAGATAAAGGGCTCTCCCACAACCTTTATCAATCAAGGAACATGGTAAAGTAATAATGCAATCCCTAACAGTTAGTGATAGATCCAAAAATGTGTAGAAAAAAAAAAACATCCCAAGAAGTAAAACGAGAGGGTAGAGCTTTGATATTGGCCAAAATGTTAAAACTTTTACAAATTAATCAATATCCCTGTAAAGCAGCTAAAGACAAAATAGTTGATAAAAAGTAGGCTTCATCAAGAACATGAGAAGGATCACAAAACAAAGGGTGGACAAAGGAAATAGGGTGAACATAAATAAAAGGGTTGTTTTCGTAACATCTTCTCTTAGTTATATTAAGTCCACTAAATTCATCTGTTTGGAGGCAATCCTTTTCTCTCCACTTACAACTTCAGTAATTTACCCTCCTACCCTTGGTTTTACAAATCCCACTGAAGTTACCTAAGACAGATGGGTAAGCACCCAAAGCCTACATCAGCAGCTCTTAAGCTTTTTGGCTCTATCAACAGATCACAATCAGTGTTCAGTTCTTCTTGCAGATACACTGGGCAACCTCATCAGCAAACTAGGAAATATCACAAAGCTTTACAATATCGTTTGAGAATTCCTGAAATAGGTTTTGCTAAGACATTTGAAACACTTTTCTATATCTTAACCTAATTCACATTTTTAGATCTCTTCTAAGTAAGGAACAGAAATTGATTTTGAAACCGGCTGCCATGGTCAGAGTTTCTGGCAGTGCATTGTACACAATATTGATGTGAATCAGTGTTCTGTAGAGAATACAGTGGATCAGGTTTACAAGGACTGTACAACAAAGATCTTTCCAAGGAAGACAGTAAAATGATATGATCTCTAGTTAGGAAAAAAATTACTAAAGTAAATATAACAAGATTAAATTAAAAATGAAAAAACCCTTGTGTTAGAGGGAAGGAATAATCCAATTATCATTGCATGTATAATTATGAAACATTAATTCCCCATCTGACAGCATATGAAGAGTAAGTACCAAGGAACAATTAAAGACTGCTTCAAATGAAGAGCAATATATCTTTTTCTTGTCTCCCCTAAATACTCATACTCTAAGAGTACAGAAGAACTCATCTGCACTAAGTTGACAGGGAATTTCAGATCTGAAGCTAAAGGACTGGAATTATACTTTTCAGTTCAAAGATCATTTAGATTCTCTGTTCTACATCAGGCAGCAGTATCAGCTACAGCAAATCGAGCTACCACAGCTCTACCGAATACTGAAGGAAAGAAAAAGAGGCAGCTAGAATAAAATTCACTTCTTTACTGAGACCATGAGAGATCTTCCCAGGTAAAGTGGATACAGCACACGAAGGAAAAGCTGCTTGACCCAGAAAATATCCACTAAGACAGGAAACTGTGCAAAATGTTCATCAGCTACTTGCACAGCAGATCTCACAGCTGATAATGGATTAGGAGCATGGAAACTTCATTCTGAATTTAGCAGACATGGAATTTAACATCAATTTGACAAGCAAGGCCAAAAATGCCTCCATTGTCCTTTATCAAGTTCCCTTTCCTAGCAAACAGAACAGATTGTATTATCACTTCTTCCACATAGAATTTTATGCAGCAAATAAGAGCACCAAAACACTCCCCACTGTTTTGTGCACAGAGGAAAAAAATCTATTTCATTACTAATTGATCAACTCCACATATTATTTATCACAGAAAAGACAATTTATTAGAAAATAATAAACTATGTAAATACTTATGTTACAATTCCCATGAAGTGTTAGAAAGCCTCACTGTCCCCTTCTCAACTGCAGATGAGCTGTCCTGCTCAAACCAAATCTCTTGGCAACCATCAAAGCTTGGTCCCATGCAGTGGAATTTTGCCATATATTTTATGAGCTATCATCTGACTGAAAAGACAGACCCAGAAACCATTGCTGAGACATGAGAGAAGATTATTTTCACACAAAATTTTCTATGTCAGTAGGAGGCTGAATATTGAAAGAAATATTTCTACTTTTCCAACTTCTTTCAATTCTACGCTATGTAAACACAGGGTTACATTAATATATTTCTGATACTCTTCCATGCAAAAAGAACAGTTGCCACATACTATGCAAACAGAAGCCTTATTCTGACACTCATCACTCTTTGATATGTTCCACATGTTAAAAATTTGAGAGCGGCCAAGTAAGAAAAAGGGAAAACTCTTCAGTCCCTTACATTTTCCAACACAAGCATCACAGCTCCACAAAGAATGCTGCAAATAGGCCTGACCTTATCCAGACAGCAGAATAAAAGCTCTCTCCAGGGTGAAGCAGTAATTTTATTTTATTTTTCAAACTGCAGATGCATGTAGTCAGGATTGATTTGACAGCATGTAGTCAGGATTGATTTGACAGCCCACCAACCAAGCTTGCTGTTAAGAGCTCACAGAAAGAGCATGGAAAAATGGCATAAATAAGGACTGAGAGTAAGGCTGGTTTATGCTTTGCACCACAGTGAAGGGAAGGGCTTCACAGAGATTGCTGGAGATGAAAGTTGCTTCTGCTTCCACTATCAGACTAAGACTGCTTGGCAGAAGACATCTGCTGTGCTGAAGAGCACTGTCACATCCAAAACAAGGAAAGTAACTAATACTTTATTGGAAATACCCTCAATTTAGACACAATGAAGGTGCTTTCTG